GGGGGGGACGACGACAAGAGAAGCAGTCATGGCTTGAGCTGGCAACCCCAGCTATTAGACAGGCAGGCAGGATGGCCCCTTGCCCTGGAGGCTCATCCAACCTCAGTGCTGAGCCAATCATGCAGGCTCTAGCCACCCATGTCCTCTGCCTCAGGCCAAGCCTGGCATTCTGTGGCCTGGAATGCCATTAGGTATGAAGGGAGAAGGAGGGGAAAGCAATGACAGGTGAGGAAGGGGGACAGGTGCCCAGGTTCTGGTGGCTGGAAAAGCTAATGAGCTGAACCAACAGAAGTCACAAGGCCATCTGTAGCCCTCAGTAGCAGACAGATCCTGGATGAGTGGAAAGCAGACTGTGCCAAAAACAAGGGGAAATCAGTGCCAGGTCAAATTCTAGGCAGTGGGTACCTGATTCAGGGTTTTCCCACAGGGCAGAAATCTTAGCCACATAAGGTGTAGATGTCTTTCGTGGGCCTGACTTGAGAAGGACTGTGTCCCGGACTCGAATGGTCTCTCCATGCCTCTCCACCGCTTGGTAGCTCTTTCGAATGGCTGGTTCCGGTTCATCCTGTGCAACAAACCAATGACACAAAAAGGATTGTGGGGCTGCACTCTGACCACCATACCCCAACAACTGACTCTTACTCCAAACCCCCAGCACTGTGTAGGTCCTCATGTTTCCTAATGGGACAGTCTGGGTTTGACCCTTCAACCACCACTGTACGTGGAGTAGCCTAGGGCAAACTGTTTACTGCTAAGCCTCAGTTTCCTCATCTGTGAAATGATAATTATAGGAACATGGGGTACATACCACATAGGGTGGTGGTGAGGATGAAAGTGGATAATGCATGCAATCAGCTCAGTTCTGGCTCAAAAGTGCTCAATAAATTTTAGTCAACATTCATTTCATCATCCCAGATGTTCCTCTATCACTGATTCTCTCTGCCCATCCCAGTTTTTCCTACACATGCTTATCCAAAAAGCCTCTACAAAAGTCCTCCATTTTATTTATTTATTTAATTTATTTAAATCCTCACCTGAGGATATGTTTCATTGATCTGAGAGAAACATTGATCAGTTGCCTCCCGTACCAGGAATTAAACCCACAACCTAGGCATGTCCCTGACTGGGAATCAAACCTGCAACCTTTTCGATGTACAGGACAACGCTCCAACCGAACCACCGACTGAGTGCAAGTCCTCCATTTTAAAATCCAGAATAAGCCCCGGCCAGTGTTGCTCAGTGGTTAGAGCACTGGCCTGCATACCAAAGGGTCAAGGGTTTGAGTCCCAGTCAAGGGCACATACCTTGGTCGCAGGTTCAATTCCCAGCCTTCGTTGGGGCAGGCGTGGGAGGCAACCAATTGTTTTGTCTCTCTCACATCGATGTTTTTCTTTCTCTCTCCTTCTCCCTCTCCCCCCCCCATCTCTCTCTCCCCCTCGTTCCCTTCCACTCTTAAAAAAAAAAAAAAAAAAAAAAAATGGAAAAAATATCCTTGGGTGAAAAAAAAA